AGTGGCCTGGATGGCCAGGGAGGGGCTGCCAACGCGGTTGGCGGCAGGTGACACAGGGCTGTCTGGCGCTGGGCGGGGGGATCCAGCTCCTGCTTTGGGCACGGGCCGGAGATACACAGATCGCCCAGGCCTAGAGAGAGCCGAGGTGGTGGATTTGGTCTCCACCCAGCTCACCAGGAGGATCCTGTGCGATACACTAGCTATGCTGTCAGAGCTGGCCCCGCCGGGCAGCCCACTGACAGGGGAGCTGGCGGGTGCCAGCCGTGTCCCTGAGGCTCACACAGCAGTCACTGGACAGTCTTGGGGAAGAGGGGACTTCTGAGAAGATGGGGGAGGGCCTATGGTGATGCACGGATACCTGTGATGTGGCTGTCTGATTGTGAGTACAGGAGGCTTCTGGAAGTCTGGACTCTCCCAGGGCGGAGCTGCCATGCAGAGTAGCCACCCCGCGGCTGGCCATGCAGATGGTCATCTGACACAGGGCCAAAGACAGGACGGTGACTCCTTGATGTCACTGCACATTGGCTCTGTCTGCATTTCTCGGGACGTTGAGTCCACGCTTCCATCAGGCTCCTGAAGAGGCCCCTGACCTGAAGAGACTGAGGCAGGAAGGTAGAGGGTTGTGTGGGGCGTGTCCAGAGGCCGGCTGGAAAAGGTGTGGAGGTCGTGGACTTGAAGGAGAACAGTCCAGAGGAGCCAGGAGGAGGAGTGGCTCCCGAGGACAAACTTGGCCCCTAGCCATGGAGACCACGTACCAGGACAGGCGCCATCAGCAAAGGCCAAGAGCGGAAGAAAGAGCGGCTGTGGGGAGATGCAGAAGCAAGGGGCTGAGGTGGGCTGGGGCTTGCGTCCACACTGACCACTGACGCCCACCTCTCAGCTTTCGTCAGGAGATCGTTCATGGAGGTATCTGCCACTTCTGACTTCTCAGGGCCGAGGGCCTGGAGGCCTTCCCTGTGTCCAGCCCCCCTACTTGTGGCTGAGTGATGGGTGTGTGTGCTTGAGCTGTAGATTAGAGGAAGTGGCAACTCAAGGCCAAAGGTGACTTCACCTGTGGCCAGCCCACCTTCAGGCCTGTCCTCTGTGGGTAGGTGGGCCAAGGCCTCCCAGAATGTGCTCAGGACTCCTGGAAGGAACAGCCCATGTCCTGGTGGGCTGTCCTTTATTGAATGATCCCCGTGACAGTGTGGACCCAGTGGTTTTGATTTTTTATTTTTTTGAGGAAGATTAGCCCTGAGTTAACATTCACCTCCCATCCTCCTCTTTTTGCTGAGGAAGACCGGCCCTGACCTAACATCCATGCCATCTTCCTCTACTTTATATATGGGTGGCCGAAGCGGAGCACGTGAACTTAACTGCTGCGCCATCAGGCCGGCCCCTCGACCCAGTGGTTTTCAGAGGCGTGGGTGGGTGGGCTCTTGAGGTGATATGTTTCTGCAGGGAAGTCCTGGGGACCCCACAGGCCCTCCAGGATTCCCTCTTCCCCAGAATGTCTGCTTTTCTCAGCACCACTGCTCAGGCGAGAGTCCAGGAAATTAATGTTGACTCAAGCATAAAGAGGGTTTCCTGTGGGGAAAGCAGTCGGAAGATGAACCGTGAGAAGGAAACGAGACCTGCCAGCGTGCAGGCCCTTGGGGACAGGGTCTCAGCAGGCTAGAGGAGGGTGCCCTGGGGCCGGCGCAGTAGAACGGCCTGGGTGCATGCATAAGGATGAAGGCAGCCGACCTTCAAGGGCCTGAAGGACAGGCCACCGCAGCAGTGACCTCAACCCATAGGAGCCAGCACTGAAAGGCACTGATGGGCTCTGACGGTCCCTGCAGCCCACTCTGCCCCAGGGCCCTGCTGCAGCCGTAGCCACTGGCCTGGTGGGTACCTGGGCGGACACCAGTGCCCACCTTTGGCCGACGGCAGAGCCTCGAGTCCTGTCTGCAGGTCCCCGGGGCTTTGTCTTGGGGCCACGGTGGAGGCCTGAGCTATGTCTGCCCCAGTATGATCAGAACACCAGAGAGCGTGTGTTCATGAGAACCCTGGTGAGCTCGGGCTCAGAGGAATTCACGAGAAGCCGTCGTAACACTCTTCTCATCGCGCCTTGCTTTGCACAGCACAGTGTCCTGTGAGGAGTGTTTCATCTCAATATTTCCAATATTTTTGTCCTGAATCGTATCATCTGTGCACTTGGGGAAGTGGCTTTTAAATGAGCCAAGCAGTCAGTTTTGTAAAGGGAAGCAGCTTTCAAATCTAACTTCTAACATGATCAGCATTTCTGGAGATGGGCTCGCTTACACCGTGATTGGGCCTCTCACAAGTGACTGTCCGTGTCCGGCCGCAGCCTCTCCCTACTGTCTGTCATCTGTATCATCTATTATCTATCATCTGCCCATCTATTAAACATCTGTCTATATCATCTATCATCATTCACCTATCATCTGTCTATCCATCCATTTCTCTCTCTATAATCTATCAATCATCTACCATATATATATCCATCCATCTTGTTCCAATTCCTTTCTTGAATTGGAAAATCCCTACTTGATGGGGAGTCCAGAATCAACCAAGCAGCTGGTTGGCCTCAGAAACATCTGTGTCCTGGTGCTGATCCCTCCAGGACTTGCTTCTCCCGTCCAGGGCCTCAGGCTCCCCAGCTTAAAGAGGGGAGCTCGTTCACTTAACCGCAATGATGGCCCTTTGGGGAAACAGACTCCCATGCACCTGTGGTTTACAGCGGGTGATGTCTCCCAAGCTGGCCTGGCAAAGGCCCAAGGTGCTGCCTGTGCCCTCTACCCTGTAGCTCTAGTGCAGGACCCCTCAGGCCCCTTAGAACACTGCAGGGTCCCCTGCACGGAGGTGGGAGCCCCCTCCAGACAGCCCTTCATCAGGCCCCAGCCCCTACGGCAGCCACTCAGGTCCAGGTGGACCAGCTTGCCAGGCCGAACTTGGTCACGTGCTGGCTCATCTTGGATGGGTTTCATGGTTCAGGGAAGCACCAGCTAAGATAATTCACCCGCCATTCCCAAGCCTGCCTTTAGTGCAGAAGAGGTTTGGATCTGTGGGGGAGAATGTGTTCATCCTCTGTGCACATAATTTCAAAACAAATTTTGAGCTACAGTTTTCTTATTGATTCCTTTCTAGTTTTCTGAACAAATTAGTCTGTAATTTTTTATTTTTTTCTATTTATTGCTGACCCTTTTGGATTTATGAGGCCGAGTGAGAGGAATTATGTATTTTACACGCACAGGTTTGGCACAGTAATAAATCTCCCACCTCGAAACCCTGCGGGTTTGCCTCCGGTTCAATAGTCTTCCATCTGGTGCTATGGGCTGGGTGCTGATGGCTCAGCATGATGCTGTGGCTGCTCTCACAGCCGGAATGAGGGTCCCCCGAAATGACCTTCCCCAGATGCCCGGCAGGCATGTGGGGTTGCCAGAGTCATTTTTCGGCCTGTGGCCCGGCGCCCGTGAAGGGAGGCTGGTGGACGAGAACTAATGAAAATCCTGGCCACACCTTCTGATGACAGCTGGATCCAAGCGAGGCCGAGGTTGTAAGATGACCTGCTGGAGGAGAAGAAACACGTCCACCGAAGGTGTCAGACTCGTTTAATCTCAGCCGCCGTTCGTGTGCAGAGCCGAGGGCTGCGGTGTTCAGATACGTTCACCCGGGGCCAGACTTCAGTATCAAGATGACGCCCTCCCAGGTCTCAGCACATTTGCCTCAGTTCCAATCCCTAGTAACCTCTGGGGCCAATAAATCTTGATACCAGCCTCCAGAGAAGTCATTATCTTTCATGGAAAATGAGTATTTCTCAGTTAAACCCCACATTTAATTTTCCTGTGATCTGTCTCTTTCAGCTTCCCCGCTCAACCGCCCGGTCCTGCATAGAATGCCCATGAAGGCACCTCCAGCGCTTTAAATCCCCAACTGTCAGACGAGCTTAGACGCCTTTGACAGCCACTCTCATAAAAATACAAATGAAGGCCAGGAGGCTCGGTCACAGTTACGGAGGGGTGACGGCCACACGCTCCCAGGAACACGGCAGCATCCGTTGGGACGGCACCCTCCATGCTGGGGCGTCTGGCTCCCGTGGGGCGGAGGCGAGTGGGTGCGCTGGCCCTCCAGGTGAAGCTGGATTCCCGCCGGCCCAGGGTCTCCTGCCACTGGGGACAGGGCTGTCCGGTGAGAGTCCAAACAAAACCAGGCTCAGGAAGTCAGCCCTGTTCCACGCTGGCTCCCCAGGCAGCATCGAGGTCCCAGAAGAATGGCTGCAAGTCCCATGCACATCTGTCCCCGTGGCCCCTTGTCCTATCTACCCACCCTGTGCTCTCCATCAAACACCAAAACGCCATTCTCTGCATGTGTGCCCTACCCAGTGCCTCCATGTACCCCCAGCAAAGGCCCTACCCCCCCCCCCCGATGCCCCATGAGCACGTGGAGCAGGGGGTGGTGTTTCAAAACCTGACTGCAGGCTGCGGGAACAGGACAGGATCTTACACATGCACATACCCCCTGCACCCCTGGCCCTGTGCTGGGGCTCCCTGTGGCCCTCCCCCTGCTTGCTGCTCACCTGTAGGGGACCTTTTCCCTTAGGCCGTGTCTGTCCAGGTTGTCACAAGACACAGCACAGGCACTTAGCGATGCTAAGAGCCTGCATCCTAAGTCCTGCTCTTAGTGGGGGTATGGCAGGGCCCCCGTCCCCATGGCTCATGTCACAATCATTGTGAGGACATAGAGCGTTGTCCCTGCCAGGCTCTGTCTCTGGCACATGGTGAGCACTCAGGAATTATCCTCCTTGTTAGCATTCCAGAGAACGGACAGGTTCTTAAGCAGCTGAGCCTGAATGTGGTACGCCAACTGCCAACTGAAGGGTGTGACATGGAAGGCAGTGCCAGTCCTGGAGCCAGGGCTGCAGCTCAAGTTTGTCTGCCCCCATCTTCCCTCTCCCCAGCAGAACCTGCCCCATCTGGGTGCCCTCAGAGAAAGGACAGCTGGCCCTGACCTCCAGGGTGCACGTCCATCTGGCCGGCACAAGCTGCCATGGCCGGGGACCACTGCATGCCAAAAGGCAGGAGCCCAGGGCTGGGAGAGGGCATGAGAATGGGCCGCCTGGGTATTAGGGGCACCCAGGTTTGAGACCCCTCTGTCACACACATGACATGTTCCAGTAACCACAGTACCAGCCCTCAGAGCCTCAGTTTCCCCTCTGTAAAGCAGGAATACCAAAGCTTCATTTCATCAGCTCTGAGATGCAGGTCTTGCCCACATTCTGATCCCTTTGGAATCAGAGTACGTCTTTCTAGCTGAGGAATCTGCAGATTATCTTTGGCAACATGTTTTCTTTCTCAGTAGCATGTACACGAAGGTTTGTCTTACAATCGCCCGGGTCTTCGTGCCCACAAAGTGCAGGCACCTCCCTGGCAGGGTGGAGGAGCAGATGGAAGGAGGTCCCAGGGCTGGGGCACAGGGCTTCCAGCAGGGTCTGGCTGATCAATGTGGGAAAATATTGCGGCCTTGTGTCTCAGATTCTGAGATAGCGCCCACTTCCGTTTCAATGTGTCTGAACCGGCTGCATTTTACAATCGGTGCTTTTCCTAAGAACTTTTTATTACACCGATGGCGTCTGGTGGGGCCAGTGGCATTTGGATTTGAGCAACTGTGGCGTTGTTTTTAGGGTGCAGCCTCTCGTGCTGGGCTAAGCTTGGTTCTTCTGGTGGTTCAATTTCACGGAGCAGGTTTGGGGCAAAGTATTACCCCACCGTGCTGAATGCACCCCACCCCATGTTGGGCTTCCTTCCGCCTGTGTGTGTGGGGGGTGGGTCCCCGAGACTAAGAGGGACACCGTGCCACTGCTTGCAGTCCCTTTGGCCCCTGAGGAGACCCGGTGAGGGGAGGGAATTTGCACTCAACCAGCACTCCCTGGGACCATTGCCAGTGAGCAGGTGACCAGCCACCTGACAGCTGAGGAGGGACCAGAAGAACTCAATTGGCCTGCTGTTCAGTGGGGCCAGCACACACACTCACCTGCTGCCTCAAGAGCAGGGGTCCCAGAGACCTCCTCTCCCACCCCCTCACGCCCAGATGAGCTGGGAGTGACAGTGGGACTTGAACGTGGGGTTGCAGGGGTGGGGCATGGTCCCTCCAAGAGGCTTGGGGGACTGAATTGTGTCCCCAGAAGTCATATGTTGAAGCCGTAGTCCCTGATGTGATGGTGTTCAGATCACCCTTTGAGGAGTGCTTAGGGTTTGATGAGGTCATGAGATGGGGCGCCGTGACGGGAGTAGTGCTTTTAGAAGAGACACCGGAGAGCTCCCTCTGCCCCTCCCTGTGAGCTTGCCCGGAGGGGAGGCTGTGGGAGCAGGCAGCCAGACAGCGGCCGGCCATCAGAGGGCCAGGAAGAGGGCCCTCGCCAGAAACCGACCGTGCCGGTGCCCTGATCTCAGCTGTCCAGCCTCCAGAGCCGTGAGAAGTAAGTATGTGCTGTTCAAGCCACCGGCGCTGCGGTGTTTTGCCCTGGCGGCCTGAGCAGACTGCGACAGTGTTCTGAAGGGCAGGTCCCCCTGAGGAGCGAAGTGGGTGTGTGTGCTTGGCCTAAAGGAACCCTTCCCATCAGCCCGGCCTTGACCATCTTTGCCAACTGGATGACCAGATGCTGGTCTGTTTGCTCAACAATCATCATGCGACTTTGTGGCCGTGCCCCACAGGCTGAGGCCAACAGTCTACCTGTGGTCAGTGGTTTGGGGGGGCAGGGGGCACGTGTGACCAAGACGAGCCTGGCCTCCACCCCAAGGGCGGCAGGAGGGGCATTGGGAAGCAGCATGCTATAGGGTTCGGAAGGGTGGGCTGGAGGTGGGCGCTCCCCAGGAGAGAGATGGAGAGGGGCTGGGCTGGGCCCGTGTGGGGCCTTGGGGGCCCCTCTCTGTCCCTCAGGCTTTCCGGCCTCAGGTCCTGCCCACAGGCTGGATTTCCTCTTCCCTCTTTCTCCTGCCATCCCCAACCCCCCTCTCGCAGTCCTCTGCCCACCCCCCCCAAGCCCTGAGCCTGCATCGCCCACCGGGTCTCTTTGCTCCCTTTTCAGCAGAACTCCTGGCAAGAGTCACAGGTCCCACTGCCTCCTCTTCCTCTCCTCCATTCTTTCTGAAACACTCCCAGTCGCACTGCGTCTCCTGCACCCACCCAGGACGTTGCTGTCTCCCAGGCAAGCCAAGCCCGTTCCCCGATCCAGGGGTCAGTTGGTTCTCTTGCTTGATTCTTGGTCTTGTCTCACACATTCTCCCTGGACTCCCCTCTCCACACTGTTCCCCTCTCACCTCACTACTGCTCCTTCTGGTCCTCTCGTCTGCCTCAGCCCTGTGGCTGCAGGCCCGGGGCTCAGTGTATGGCTGGCCTTCTCCTGTCCTCGCTGCCTCCCATGGGGAGCTCGACCAGCCCCAACTTACCCTCTGAGCCCCAGACTCACACAGCCAACCAGTGGCCTGACACGTCCCGCAGATGTTGAAAAGCTCTCCGGACATCATCAGGTCCAAAACATACTCTCAGTTTCCACCCTCAGCCCTAAAATTGCTCTCTTGCCCTCCCTGCAGCCTTGCGTCTCCGCCCAGGGCAGCTTCAGTGTCCAGCGGATCTGGCCACAACCCGCAGGCAGCTCTGACCCCTTTGTCTCACATCCTGGATTTGATCCACCACATGTCCTACCTTCAAAACGTACCTGGAGTCTGATCCTCCTCACCTGCACTGCCATCCGCCCCTCACCTGAGTCCCACCATCTCTTGGAGGGTCTCCTGCTTCCCCTCTGCCCCTTCTACACGGCAGCCAGCTGGGCATAACCATATCCCTGCTCAGAATCCTCCCGTGGCCACCATCCCATTCAGAGTCAAGGCCCTAGTCTGCAGCCTGGCTGGTGAGGCCCTCCATGGGCTGAGCTTGCTCTTGGCTGCTTCTCTACCTTGTTCTCTTGCCTTGGCTCGTTCTGTTCCAGCTGTTCTTCCAATGTGCTCACCCCTTTCTACCTCAGGACCTTTGCACCTGCAGTTCCTCAGCCTGGTCTGCTTGCCTTTTTTCTCACCTCCTTCTCCACCCATGGTCACCTTCTCAGAGAGGCCTCCCTACCCGCCCGGGGTACAACAGCCCCTCCCCCTGCCCTGCTTTACTGCTTTTTCTAGCATTTATCTCCGTCTCACTTATTTACTTATTTTGGGGTCTCTCTCCTGGAATGCAGACCCAGTGGCACCAGGACTTGGTTTTGCTCCTGCTTAGTCTCCAGGGCTTGGCACGGAGCAGAGGTCCAGTGAATGTTAGTGAAGGAAGGCAGGAACAGTGAATGGGGGGAGGCGGGACACAGGGAGGGCACAAGGCCTCAGCCAGGGGCGCTTCGGTTTGGATCCTCTGATCCAGGGTTTTCTAACTTTTATCAGCAACAAAACCCTCTTCTCAAACAATCTTAGCAGATCTAAGATTTCGAGAGAAGAGTGCATTGGTATACAGCAGGCCCCCTTATCCTCACCTTCACTTTCCGCCGTTTCTGTTATCTGTGTTCAACCTCAGTTAGAAAACGAGAGTCATTCTCTCACTTCATCTCCTCGCACGAGCACTGTGTCTTCTCACATCATCACAGGAAGAAGAAAGGTGAGCACAGCACAGTAAGCTACTTAGAGAGACCACATTTACAGAACTTTTATGACAGTACATTGTTATAATTGCTATTTTACTATTATTGCTGTTAATCTCTACCCGTGCCTAGTTATAAGTTAAACTTTATCGTAGGTATATATGTACAGGAAAAAACAGTATACATGGAGTTAGGTACTATCCGCGGTTTCACGTATCCACTGGGGGTCTTGGAAGGCGTCCTCTGCGGATATGGGGGAACTACTGTAAATTAGTTTAAGTTTAAATCATATCATCTACTTATTTAAAAGTTAATCCTCCACAGGAGCGAGGGGGCTCCCCATGCCCTGGAATGTAAGAATTTGAACTTCCAGAACTTCCAGGGTGACCCTTGCTGACTCATATCGCTCTGGAATCCACTTCCTTCCTTTTTTGTTTTGGCCACACAGTTCAGAGAAAATCTTGATATGCCTAACGATTAGGAAGAGTAATTTAAGAACCAAGTTTCCTGTTGACTTAGCAAAAAAGTCCTGTGAACCTTTATTTCCTAGGTTTGCAGAGAAATCAGCTCTGGTCAACTTAAAAGTCCTAAAATTTAGCACCTAACACATCTGAGTTTGCACGCATGTTTTGCTACATTTTCCAAGAGTTAAAATCTCCAATTAAAAAGTCAAGGTCAGGTGGCAGATCCTCTGAAGCTCCAGGTGGGGTTGCCAGATGAAACACAGGACGCCCAGTTCAATGTGAATTTCCCAGAAGCGGCGAATTGTCTCTAAATCTAAGTGTGTCCCGTATCTGAAATGCAAATTTAGCAGGATACACTTAGACTTAAAAAGGATTGGCTGCTTATCTGAAATTCATATTTAACTGGGCGTCCTATATTTTCATTTGCTGAATCTGGCGACTCTACCCCGGGGTCGGGCAGGGGGTCTGCCGAGAGGGTGGAGCGGGGGCGGGGTTTGGGGTGGGCGGGTCCGGGGGCGGGGCCTGGAGGGGCTCCTGCGCACCAGGCTGGAGGCGTGAGCAGGTTTTCGCAGGCGGGGGCGGAGCTCGGCGCTCGGGGGCGGGGAAGGAGGCGGGCCAGGCGCTCGGGGCGGGGCCGGGCGCGCGCGGCGCAAGTGACGGCGGTTGCCAGGGTGAAAGGTCAGGCGCGCCGCGGCACTCCCAACATGGCGGCTGCCGGGGCGGCGGCGGAGGTGGCGGCGCGCAGCCCGGGAGCCCCGGCGGGGACGGCGGCCCGAGCGCGGCGCCCGCCGCCGGCGCGGCCCGCACGGCTGCCCCCTCTACTCGTGCTGCTGGCGGCGGCGGCGGGGCCGGGCGCGGGCGGCGCGGCGCGGCTGTACCGCGCGGGCGAGGACGCCGTGTGGGTGCTGGACAGCGGCAGCGTGCGCGGGGCCACGGCCAACAGCTCGACCGCGTGGCTCGTGCAGTTCTATTCCTCGTGGTGCGGCCACTGCATCGGCTACGCGCCCACCTGGCGGGCCCTGGCCGGGGACGTGCGAGGTGAGGCGCGCCCCTGCGCGGGACCCCGACCCTCGCCGGCCGGGCCTGGTCCTGCGGCTCCCGGACTCGCCCCTCCGGCTCCGCCTCCCGGGCCCCTTTCCCCCTGCCCTACAGAACCACCCCGCTTCGGCCCCCGCTGGCCGGCGCCCCGGATGACCCCCATATGAACCCCGTGAGATCCCGGGAATCTGTCTTAAGTCAGAATGACAAGAACCCTTCTCCCCCAGCTCTCACTCCGCGCGGGGGACAGAGTAGCCCTCCCAATATCGCTCAGCTCTCCAGACGCCTAGTTTTGAGCCCCCAAGAGCTTCGTCTAACCCCCGGGACTTTATCCCAGCTGTTCCCTGCGTACACCCCATCCTCAGTATTCCGTTTCAGTGCCTGGAGGATCTCCATTTTTATCCCAGGCCCCTTTCCCTTTAAATCCTTCTTCCTCATCCTCTTCTGTTTTGTATGGCTGACCATATGGTGGATACTCCAAGTGAGCCCCCAACTTAGACAAGCCCACACTCTGCGGACTTCTCCATAGAAGCTGAAAAAGAACCCTCAGAGCGTCCATTGGGAGGTTCCTTGTTCATAGACGGACAGCCTTTGATAAGTCTGTCGTCCACCAAACTGCTGGTCGTTTTCCCACGCTTCGTCGTTGTTTGGCACTTCATTCATGCTGCAGACTCTTGAGCAGTCACTAAGTCATTCAGCTGCTCTGGGCAGAGTTGTAGTGGGAGTGGGCATTTGCAGCATCTTCCTGCAAGCTGGCCGTGCTGTAAATGGGAGGTCAGTTGTTCTGAAGTAGGAGCCAGTCCCCAGCGAGAGCAAGGTTTGGCAGGACTCTTGCCTATGTTGAGCAAACCTCTAATTATATGTTTCAGTTGGTGACAGGGTAACAGATTCCCGCGCACTCTTCCTCCCCCTTGGTTTTTAAGTCTCATATCCAACTGTGTTGTGATTGTCTCACATCTAAACAGGTTCGTGAACTTGTTAAAAGTCTAAATAGGGTTTGGTGGGTAGTTGTAAGTGATTGTCTTTAAGATGCCTTCTCATCTTACCTCGGAGTGTTGGGAACTTTTGATTCCTAAAGGGTTTGTTCTTTCATCTGATGTTTCCTTGAGTGCCCAGTGTTGGGCCCTGCTCAGACCTGAGATCAGAGTCTAAGACATGGACAGACCCCACCTTAGTAGGTTTTTATTTTTAAGCCGTTGCTTTGAGAACAAGCAAGCACTTTAATAATACAGAGAACGTTTCAGTTCTTGTTTGTTACTTGGTGGCAGAAACACAGATATGTAAATTAAAATACAGGTAGCTCTGGCAAGACACTTGTCACCTGTTTTGTGTGCATTTTGATTCTTTTCTGAAGTCTAA